CCTGGTTTCCAGACTGAGGTCATAACATCCTTAAAATACACTGGTTGGTTCAATTCAGAAGTCTTCTCTGTAGTCCAGTGTCTTTCTGCTGCAGTTTGTCCTTTATCATCAGCATTAAGAAAATTCAATGTTAGTAAAGCATTGTGTAACCTGTGTTTAGGGGTCTTTGTTCTCCCCGGCTGCTTATGAAGCATTTCTTTTAAGGTTCGGTTAGATCTTTCAATCACTGCTTGTCCTGTGGGATTGTAAGGTATACCAGTTACATGTTTTATATTATAATATTTGAAGAATTGTTCCAATTTACTGGAGACATATGCTGGAGCATTGTCAGTTTTTATCGTTTTAGGTATACCCATAACAGCCATCACCTCTAAGAGGTGTGTAATAACAGAGTCAGCCTTTTCAGAGCTGAGGGCAGTAGCCCATTGGAATCCTGAGAACGTGTCTATGGTATGGTGTACATATTTTAAACTGCCAAATTCTGGGAAGTGAAATACATCCATTTGCCAAAGTTCATTTCTATGAATACCTTTAGGATTACAACCTGCTGGTAATGGAGTTTGATTGTAGAAGGAACAACTGGGGCAATTTTTTACTATTTCTTTGGCTTGTTGCCAGGTGATAGAAAAATCCTTCTTTAAACCTTTGCTGTTGACATGGTGTTTCTTATGAAATTCTGAAGCTTCCAACACATTACCTACTAACAAACGATCAATTTCATCATTGCCTTGTGCCAGAGGACCTGGCAAACCTGTATGGGACCTGATGTGTGTTATATATATATATAGGATGAGTCCTGTTTCTGATGGTTTCCTGTAATTGTAAAAATAATGAGGTTAATTCTGTACTATCAGGAACAAATTCTGCAGTCTCAATATGCAAGACAACTCTTTCCGCATACTGAGAATCGGTGACTATATTTAGAGGCTCTGTAAAGTCTTTAAGTACCATGAGAATGGCATATAACTCTGCCTTTTGTACGGAGTTGTAAGGGCTTTGAACTACTTTACTTATATTTCCTGATTTATACCCTGCCTTACCTGATTTGTTTGCATCCGTGTAGAAGGTAAGAACTCCAGAAATAGGTGTTTGTCTCACGATACGTGGAAGAATCCAAATTGTTTTCTTTATGAATTTTATTCTCTCTGTTTTGGGATAGTTATTACTAATAGTTCCCAAAAAGTCACTGCAAGCTATTTGCCAATACTCATTATCTTTCCATAAGGAGGAAATTTCATCATTTGTTAAAGGTACAATAATTTCAGCTGGATCTTTCCCAGTCAATTGACGAAGCCTTAACTTACCTTTTAATATCAAATCAGAGATCTTTTCTATATATGTTTTCAATTTTTTATTCTGTTTATGTGGCAGAAATACCCATTCTAGTATGATGTCTTCCCTCTGCATTAATATTCCTGAGGGGTATTCTCTAGATGGTAAAATAACTAGAATACAATCCAGGTTTGGATCCACACGGTCCACATGTGCTTCTAATATTCTCTTTTCTACCCATTCTAATTCTTTTTCAGCCTCAGCTGATAGTACTCGTGGGCTGTTTAGATCTTTATCTCCTTTTAAAGCCATTTTCAAATGTTTCAAATCATGCCCTTCTACACCGATAATTGTCTGTAATTGAGAGATTTCACCTAATAGTTTTTGAAGATCATTAAGAGTCCGGTAACGATCTCTTCTAATCTGTACTTTCTGTGGTCTAATTTTCTGAGCATCTATTTTATAACCTAAATAGTTAATAGAATCTCCTCTTTGTATTTTTTCTGGGGAAATTTGTAATCCCCAGCGAGGCAAAGTTTCTTTTACTGCTTCAAACATCTTTTCCAATGTATCCTTATTTGAATCAGACAATAATATGTCATCCATATAATGATATATTAACGAATGTGGAAATTTTTTACGAATTATTTCTAGAGGTTTATTCACAAAATATTGACACAAAGTTGGACTGTTTAACATACCTTGAGGTAGTACCTTCCAGTGGAATCTCTGTACCGGACGGGAATTATTATAGGTAGGTACCGTGAAGGCGAACTTTTCTCTGTCGTTTTCTTGTAACGGTATGGTGAAAAAACAATCTTTTAAGTCTATAACTATAATTGGCCAATCCTTAGGAATTAGAGAAGGTAACGGCATCCCAGGTTGTAGAGACCCCATAGGCTGAATTACCTTGTTGATGGCTCTAAGATCAGTAACCATTCTCCACTTACCAGACTTCTTCTTGACAACAAAAACAGGGGAATTCCATGCACTAGTTGATTCCTCAATATGTCCAGCATCTAACTGTTCCTGAACTAACTTCTCCAAAGCCTCTAACTTCTCAGATGTCATAGGCCATTGACCCACCCAGACGGGTTCATCTGTCAGCCATTTTAAGGGTAGAGCTTTTGGTTGCTCTGTAGGTTTGGCACTAGCATCTTGCTTCTGCACAGCCTGTACATTTGGCATCTGTTTTCTGTACTGCCTTACTTTATTCTTTGTACCACTAGAAGCTTGTCTATGATTCCTAGCTGATACAGGAGGAATGTTAATCTGTGTATTCCATTGCTGGAGTAGATCACGACCCCAGAGGTTTATAGCAATATCTGCAACGTATGGCTTTAACCTTCCTCTCTGTCCTTCTGGCCCAATAAAGTCAATCCATCTAACGCTCTGTTTAACTTCAGATAGGGTTCCAATCCCTAAGAATTGAACATTAGCCTCTTTTAAAGCCCAGTCGTGTGGCCAGGACTGCTGATTAAGGATAGTGACATCACTGCCTGTGTCCAGTAAACCGTAAATTACCTTATTATTTACCTTAACTGCCAGCTTGGGTCTATGATATTGTATAGAAGTTTGCCAAAATATATGTTTTGTATCTCCTCCTGATGTAATTGATTCATCCTCTGGAGCTAATGTATTGTCCAGTGCCGTATAATTTACAATGGGCAGTGGATCTTCTAATTGTCCTGGGAGAGGCTGTCCTCCACTGTCACTGGGAATGACCGGATAATCTCTCTTTTTGGGGCTCGGTTGAGCCCCTGAGATCCGTTTTTTGGCTTTAAAGATCTACCTTGTCTATCTGTTGTGGATCTGCATTCATTTGTCCAATGCCGGCCTTTTCCACACCTCCTGCAGAGACCAGGAGGTTGAGGCCTTCTGTTTGACACATTCCTGGTAGAAGAATTATTCCTAGGAATGTGTTGTCTACAGTTCCTACTCAGATGTCCCATTTTACCACAATTAAAACATCTAAAGTTTTGATGTCTTTTAAAATTTCTAGAGATTGCTTGCCCAACCCAATTTGGTATCTCCTCTTGGGTAGGCCATATTTCATCCTGATTCCTCCTAAATCCTTTAGAAATGGCTTCTCCTATCCAAGTTCCTGCCTCTGGATTGTCATACTCAACATTAGTTGTATATAAGACCCATTCCTCCAATGGTGCTGATCTTACCTTTAATGGCCACAGTATCTGTTTGTAATGTGGATTTGCATTCTCGTAAGCCAACGATTCTGTAAGAAGTCGCCTAATATTAGGATCAGTTATTTGTAAATCTACTGCTCTGGATAATCTTTGTAAGAATTCAGAGAATCTTTCTCTCGGACCCTGTATCACTTTCGAGTATGCTTCAACTCTTTCCCCTGGTTCACGAACCTTATCCAAAGCATTTAGTGCTGCTGTTTTGCATAAATCAAATGTACGCTCATCATAACCAGCTTGGACCTGCGGGTCAGAAAATTGCTTCTCTCCCATAATCTTACTTTCAGAAGCATCAAAGCCATCCTTCAAACCTTGAAGTTCAAGGGCCTTGGCTTCCTGTCTCCACAAAGCTTTCCACTGTATTTGTGTAGACTGGTCCAACACTGCAGATATTAAATCATTCCAATCTGAGGGAGTTATCTTATTAGTAGTTGCCCATGTGTTTAGTAACTGTTTTACATAAGTACTGTGGACCCCAAAAGTCATGATCACATTTTTAATTGTTTTCATATCTTTTATGGGAATAGGTTCCCATTTCTGTGTAGTGGAACCAGATTGGTGCCTCCGTGATGATGACCTTTCTACTACAGTTACTGGAAAGGCCACCTTAGGATGTCTAGTAGCCATATTTCGTTTATTTCCTAGTGGCCTAGCATCCATTGACTCCACTTCTGATATTTCAGAGGATGTATCTTCTAAAGATTGAAATTTTGCAACCATGTCATCCTTTAGGTCTCGTATTTCCTGCATTAAAAATTGTTCCAATTCCTTGGACTCTTCATTGAGGTCTTCTATTTCCTCCATTAAAAATTGTCCCAAGTCCTCAGATTGTTCATTAAGGTCTTGGATTTTCTGCATTAAAGATTGTTTTAACTCTTTGGATTGTTCAGTTAAACGAAATTCCAAGCTTTTCATACCATCCTCCCTAAAAACTCCAAAGGCATCTATTTTTCCTTCCAGAAAACACATTCGATCCGCTAGATTGCCATTATTATCAGACATAGATTGAATCGACCCTGCTAATTTTGAAAATTCCTCCTGGTTATATTCCATCTTAGCCATAAATGTAGTGGACATCGAATTGAATGTGTCTCGAAGGTTGTCCTGGTCAAATTTAACCAAGTCCCCTTGTTCCTGAATTTTTAACTCTAACTTTTTAATTGACTCTGCTAAATTGGAAAGTTCCACCTGGTTAGAGTCAGTCTTAGCGGACATTGAATTAAATGTAGCCAAATCCACTTGTTCCTGAATTTTTGACTCTAATTTTTGAAACATAAGCTCATGTTTCTTCCAAGTGATTATATGTATTAATACACTAATCACAAGCATGGCACACATATACGTAAGAAAAATATCATAATTGTCTTTTACCACATAATCCATCACATTGGTAATGAAATCTCCAAAATCCTGCAGTGTTAAATTACCTGCCATGTTATAATTAGATGTTCTTACCATCAATCGGTGATTCCTAAATTGGAAAAATTCACCTCCTTTATTATCTCAAATTAAAATACCTGTAGTTACCGTGCTTGGCCAGCAGATGGCGGAGGTGTACTGCTAAACGCTACCTCTCCGCGGAAAATCGGATGCTCCCAAGGAACCTGTGAAAGCTTAATGGGCAGATTTGGGAAGGCAGATTCACCGCACAGCAGTGGAGCTTGCAAAGGCTCTGGTAGCTGCTGAGGCAGTATAGTGTAGAATTAATCAGGCACGAAAGTCCCCGGTTCTGCTTGGCGGGCGGCAGCGGGGGGAGGGGGAGGGAGCGGGCAACCGATGGCCGGTATGCTGGCGGCTGGAACGCGCGGGCGGTCAGCAACTGGGAGTTGCAGCAGTGGGCTGTGAGCAGCACGTGTGGCGTTGGCGGGCGGGCGGCAAAGGGGTCTGAGTCCCCGGTTCTGCGCGCTTAGCGGGCAGCAGGAGCGCAGAACGATCGCGGGGGTGGGGGAGGGGGCAGCTCCGGGCGCAGAGCGGTGGCAGCAGCACGCGGCGGCGCACGGGCGGCGGCGGTGGCGGGGGACGCCCAATGATCACGCGCAGCAGCTGACTGTGTCCGTGCAGGGTACACGCAGTGATAGACTGCTGCGGTGTCCGCGAACGGGCGAACAGCACGCGGCAGCTGTGGACAGCAAGCGTGGGGGCGCTGGGCGGCAGCGGCCGGCGGGGCAGCAGGGCTTGTGGGGAAGGGAAAACAGCTCCGCGTGGAGAGGCCAATTGCTCTATTCGCGGTCCAGCTGCATGTACGCGCAGCGGCCGACTGGGGCGGGCAGCGGGGCCGCGGGCGATGTACCCACCGCGGCTGGAGCGAACTAGCACTCACCTCGGGATGCCGAATTCAGGCGGTTTCCCAGGCGTGGGCTGTAATTCCAAACCACTTCTGCCACCAGGTATCGCGGTAATCGAGGCTATATAGGGAAAAACAATATATTTATTTATCAGGGAGAGAGAGAGTCGCACATACCAGGAGTTAGAAGCCTGGCTGGCTTCCAGGAGAAAAAGAGGGAGGCCCCTTTTCCTTTCACTACCTTTTATCTCTACCTTGACCCCGCCCTGTTGGGCGGGTAGCTTTGTGGGGTTCACTCCTACAAAGCAAGGCCAACAGCTTCATAATTAATACAGCGTCTTGTGTGTTATTTGGGGACTACATCGAGGCAGAGCCCAGGCGGCTGGCGGGGGGTAATCCAAAGCAGCTAGCAAGGAAAAAGCTTCTCTTAACAGGGAAATGCTGTAGAATAATCCTTCTAAACACTATGAATAGGTATTGCACTCTTTGTTAATAAAAAGAATTGGCCAATAGATAGGCAGGGCTTTGGAGACAGAGAAAATACTGGGGAGAAGGACAGAATTAAAGGGGTCTCTTGTCATATGCAGAGGGAGAAGGACATGTACAAAATGAGGTACTGAGCTATAAGTGGATGTGGTCGAATTTAGGTGGGAAATGTGGGTCAATTAAAATCATAAGATCCATTAAGAAATGAGCCTAATTCCACTCTTAGTGATATACGTAAAGGATACACATTCATACCACAAGGACATCTGTTCAACTATGTTCATAGCATCATTATTTGTAATAGCCAGAACCTAGAAACATCCTAGATGACCCTCAATAGAAGAAAGGATAAAAGATATGGTATATTTACACAATGGAGTACTACTCAGTGGAAAAAACAAAATGAAGTCTTGAAATTTGCAGGCAAATGGATGCAACCTGAAGAAAGTATTCTGAGTGAGGTAACCAAGTCACAGAAAACCAAATATGGTTTGTAGTCATTCATATATGGATATTAGACCTATTGCAAATAACTACCATCCTAAAATCCCACACCTCCAGAAAAGCTAGAAAACGAGGACCCAATGACAGACAAGTATGGTCCCCCTGAGAAGGGAAAAAAGACAAGAATAACTGAATAAATTGGGAACATGGCAGCAGGGGGAAGGGAGATAGGAAAAAGAGGAGTGAGAAGAGGAGTAGAGAGGAAAACAAGAGGAATCAGGAAGATTGCCTTAGGGGACGAATAGAGGAGAGCAAGAAAAGTGATACCTTAATACAGGGAGACATTATAGATTTAAAGAGAAATCTGGCACTAGGGAAATGTCCAGTTCTCCCCAAGAATGGCCCCAACTAAGAATCTAAGCTGTGGTGCCCGAGCCACAAGCAACTGTGTGGTATCAGGAAAAGAAAGACCAGATGTCTAGCTGTTTGTACTAAGAAGTGTCTTTATTTCGCAAGTGCTAAGAGGTCTCTCTCTTGTAGGAGGGAGCAGTCTTATATATAGTCTTACAACACAGTAGAAAAACCCCAGGTGGAAGAGAGCATGTTTTCCTCCTGCTAGATGTTCATGTCAGTGGGGCAATGTGAGGGCAGTAAGCCAGGACTAGAAAACAGGATGTACCTGTGGCTATCAGCTGACAAACAACTCAGAGAACCTGTGGGGGCTAGGCCCCAACACTAAGCAATAGTAGAGAGGCCTTCCCTCATAATGAGATTGGTGACTAGCTTGTATGCCATTCTAGAGCCTTCATCCAGTAGCTGATGAAAGAAGAAGCATATATTCTCAGCTAAGCATTGAGATGAACTCCTGGAATCCATCTGTAAAGAGGGAGGAGAAATGAGAAAAGGGTTTAAGATCATGCTGGTGAAACTCACAGAAATAGCTGACCTGAGCAAGGAGGAGCTCATAGACCCTGTTTGACAGCTGGGGATTCTGCATAGGACCAAATTAAGCTCTCTGAATATGGGTGTTGTTAGGAGGCCAGTGAAGTCTATGGAGCCTCTCGCAGTGGATACAGTATTAATCCATATTGCACGTAAATACTTTGTAAGCCCATTCCCCATGAAAGGATACTCTCTCAACCTAGAAAAGGATACTCTCTCAACCTAGATACACAGGGGAGGACCTGGACCCAGTTGATGTGACATAATTTGATGATGCCCCATGGAATGTCTCACACTCCATGAGGAGTGAGGGTGGGATGGGCATGGGTGGGGAACATTGGAGGATGAAAAGGAGAGGGAACTGGGATTTATACATAAAATAAGATTGGTTATAATTTAAATAAATATCTATTAAAAAGGAATATGGGTTTACATTTAAGTGCTACTTAGAAATTACTCAGGTATCAGTTGAGCATTTATAATTAATCTTAAATCTTCCAAAGCCAGTACTTAGGAAGTCGTGGGCAGTAAAGAAAACTGCATACAATCATTTCTATCCTTTTGCCTGCAAATTAGACAATGTCATTGTTTTTAACAGCTGAGTAATATTCCATTTTGTAAATTTTCTCTTTCCATTTGTCATTTGAGGGATTACATCCAAAAGAGTAAGTAGGAAACAGGGAACCAAGGAAGGATGAAAGGCTGGAAGGTAGTAGAGAAGGAAAGAAAGAAGGATGGAAGGAAGGAAGGAAACCTGATTTTAGTGAAATGCTTCACTCCAAACTAGAATATCAGTGAGATGACCATCTGAATTTTAGGAACACAGACTACCATGCCAGGTGAATTGAATTAAGCAAGCTTCATTTACTCTGCACAGGAATGACTCTACATTATGAGATTTGCGAATACAATGGGGGGCTAATTTTTAGGCCCTCTTCTAGAGCAAAGTGAAATGGGACTTTTGTAACATCAGGATTTTGAAAGGGATTTATACAGAAGCAGATAGCATATTAGATTATTTGACAAACATTGTGGCTGAATGTATCAAGTTTCCTTGACAGAACAGCTTCTCATGCTGGGTGGAGTGTACTTGGGAGTCAGACTTGAATTTTGTAACAAAAGAAACAACTTATTCTGGCTTTATAACAAATTAGCTTTTTAGACCAATATGGACCCAGTCTGATCCATCAGGATGCCCCTTTCATGCCAAATAACTCCAAAATTGATTTCTTCCTTTTTATCTTTAGTTTCATTTTCTTGGTGTAGAATTGGAAGTCATAAAACTAGCCCTATAGGCCAGGCTGCCCTGGAACTTCCAGAGATCTGCCTGTCAGTGCCCATTGAGTGCTGTGTTGAAAGGTGGAGCTTTTCAAGGAAACTCTGATACAGAAACCACACTCAAGCTGTCTCCCACTGGTCTATCATGTGAGTTCTCTAAACCCTGACACCCACAAGGAGCTGGAGATTGTCTGAAAATGTATACAGACCCTACAGTTCCACATTCTGTTTCATAGGGTCCATTCGAAGACACTTGATGGGAGATGATATCCAATACCTAAAGAATTAGAATGTCCTTACTGAAAAAACAAAATGTCCTTGAACCTGCAGTTGTTGTTTGCAGTTAAATTGTCTACCTTGAAAGAAGGAAAGAAAGGATAGAAAGAGAATGAGATTTTTAAACTACAGTCTGTTTCTTAAGTGAATATAAGTGTGGTGAGGGACTAGCATTTCAGCAACTTTATAATTCATATTGATATAAGATTTACAGGCTCAACAAACTCTCCAATTAGTGGTAAAAACATTTTATGCTGTGCAACTGCTGCAGTGCCGGTGAATAAATGTCCCATCTCATCCTCCCCTCCTGGAGAAAAAACACACTGGATTTTGTCTCCTGTGTAAGCAATGAAACCATATTCCTACTTTCCCATTCCTAAGCAGAGTAGACACTTCCAAGAATGCTCAATATTGATTTGAATTCATGCTGAAAGAAAAGACTAGCCAGAGAGGACCAGCAGTTGTAGCCACACCTTTAATCCCAACACTTGTGAAACAGAGGATCTGGGATCTCTGTGAGTCAAGACCACCCTGGACTACATGAGAGCCAATCAGTATAGAGGAGAAACTGAGCTCACACCTTTAATCCTAGAACTTGTGATGACACGCCTTTAATCCAAGTACTAGAGATGAGTATAAGAAAGGAGCACAGTGCAGTCTCAGGGCAGCCTGAAGTTAGGTCGAGAGCTTTGTAGTCAGCAGTTACTCTGAGGACTGAATCACCGCAGTTTGGTCTGTAACTTTGTAGAGTTAAGAACTCTTTGGTGGCTTGGCTGTTTTGCTCTTCTGATCTTCAGCTTGAACCCCAATATCTGTCTCTCAGTTTTTATTATTCATGCTACAATACTCCACTACCAGTCCCTCTATATCATTCCCCATCTCCCACCTCTAATTCTTCCTCTTCTGTCTACATCCAGGAAAAGGCAAGTCTCCTATGAGTATCAATAAAACATGGCATATCAAGTTTCAGTATAACTAAGCAAATCCCCATGTATTAAAATTGGGAAAGACTAACCAGAAGGAGAAGTAGGGTCCCAGAAAAGCAGACACACAGTCAGAGACAGCTCTTGTTTCCAGTATTAGAGAACCCACAAGAGGACCAAGCTACAAAACTGTAACATATGTGCAGAGTACCTAAGTCAGTCCATCCCATGCAGGCTCCCGATTGTTGGTTCAGTCTCTGTGAAGCCCTAAGAGAATTGTATATGATGTATTTAGTGTCCTTGATGAATTATATTATCATAAATTTGTGTGGATTACTTGGGCTTATCTGAAGGTATACCATCATGCTGTCTGTGAAATAAAGAGTGTTTCTTCTTACCTTTGTGTAATTCTAGCATCTCCCTGCAGTAGGGTGTTTATCAGAAGTGGCTTTAGCAGATATCTTTGTTTTTTCCGGGTGACTGAAAATAGGCAGTGACGTGGGGCCACAGTGAGGGAAATGGTGAAGGGGAGTCGGAGGAGGATATCAAGGTAGGGAAAGTGGGGAGGGGTGGGTATAAAGCATGAGAGAAAGGCATTATTTTGTTTTGTAAATGGTTGGTTTCATGGGTAAATATGAGAGATGTCACACAGTAGGTTTTCAACTGGAAATGTTCGTGTGTTCTATGGAAAATATGAGGTAGTTGTATTAGTTAGGATCTTCTAGGGTAACAGGTTGTTAAACACTGAACTGAGAGAGAGACAGACAGAGACAGAGAGAGAGAGAGAAAGAGAGAGAGAGAGAGAGAGAGAGAGAGAATGAGGGTTTAATAGCATTTTATTAGAATGAATACAGAACATGGTCTTTGTACTCCAACAATGGGGTAGGAGAAGGGTGGTACAGCCCCTTGACCTGATCTGCTGTGCACAGAGGTGAAGCCTGCTTGTTTGGACCAAAAGCACTTCCGGTCGCTAGCCTTTATTTTTGGTGGTGGGATAAAGAACAGGAAGGAGACTCTTGTATGGCAGGTCTACCCCTGCTTTCTTCATCTGATGTGAATTTGTAAATTTGTTTTTACAAGAAAAAGTGAAGTTGAAGACACTTAGGGTCATGGCCAGCTGCTGAAGAGATCAGATATTATTGATGTTTTGCATAAGCCACACCCACAGTTGCCCTAGGCAATTGGAGGCTTGTAGGGGATTAGGAGTCCAGGCTGGGGGCAGGGATAATGGGTGTGAAAATAGGACTGAGCTATAAAAACTTGTGCATTTGTCACAGGGTCTCTCTTGGAATACATTGTAGAAGGGAAAAGCATCTTCTTGCTCCCAGAGAAGTCTTCAGCAAGGTGTTTGGAAGTGGCGTCTGGAGACATGGAGGCAACTCAGTGGCTCTCAGAAGGTGAGTCTCATTGTAAGACTTTCTCATGTTGCAAGTCCTCAAGCCATACTGCTGAATCTGAGGTGTCTTGGTGTTCTTTTCCTTCAGCAGATTCAGCCTTGTCAGCTCCTGTGGCCGCAGAATTCCACCAGGATAAAGCTCAGGGGACAGCAGAGCTGGCTGGCAGGTGCAAGTACATTGCGAGCTGGGAGAGGCCCCTCGGCGTGGGTGCAGGTCTCATGAACACAGGCAACAGCTGCTATGTGAATGCAGCTTTGCAGTATCTGACACACACGCCACCTCTTGCCAACTACCTGCTCTCCCGGGAGCATTCTCGGGGCTGTTGCCACCGGGATGGCTGCACAATGTGTGCTCTGGAAGCTCACATGACTCGGAGTCTCCTCTACTGCACGGATGCCATGCAGCCCTCGACCAAATTGACTCGTGCCTTCCACAAGCACAAGCAGGAAGATGCCCATGAGTTTCTCATGTTCACCTTGAACGCCATGCACGAATCCTCCCTTGGAGGGAGCAAGCACTGCGAAGACCGCTCTGAGGACAGCACCCCAATCCACGAGATATTTGGAGGCTCGTGGAGATCTCAGGTCAAGTGTCTCCAGTGCCAGGGCACCTCAGATGCCTTTAGCCCATTCCTGGACATCCCCCTGGATATTCATGTGGAGCAGAATGTGAACCAAGCCTTGGAGAATCTTGTGAATGCCGAGGGCTGTGTGGGGAAAACGCCTACCACTGTGACCATTGCCAGGGGAAGACGCCAGCTTTGAAGAGTCTGATAGTTCAAAATGCCTCGAAGGTTCTCATGCTCCTGTTGAACCGCTTCTCAGACTGCACGGGTGGCAAAACGGACAGGAAGTAAGGTATTCCGAGTCCCTTGACCTGCGCCCATACATGTCTCAGTCCAATAGAGGACCGTTGGTGTATGCCCTGTATGCTGTGCTGGTCCACACTGGTGTGACTTGCTACAGTGGATATTACTTCTGTTATGTCAGAGCTAGCGACGGCAAGTGGTACAAGATGGATGATTCTAGGGTCACCAGGAGCGACGTGACTTGTGTCCTGAGTGAGCCGGCCTATCTGCTCTTCTATGTCCAGGAGACTGGTAACAGAGAGGCCAGTGTCAGGAGGCAAGTAGGCACGGCCAATAAGGCTCACGTTGGGAAAGGTGGGCAGAAAACATGCAATAGAGGATCCTCGGTAGAAGCCACAGAGCCAGTCAGAGAGCTGGAGAATGCAGTGACCCAAGAAATCTCCTTAGATGAATGGAAAGAACTGCAGGAAAAGAAGCGCCCCAAAACCATGCTGAGTCTCAGGCAAACTGGGTCCACTCTGCCGGCCCATGCAGTTGTGATCCACCAGCCCAGACGCAGAGAAGACCCAGACAGGAATGAGCCGGACAAGGAGAACTACCCATGGCATGATTCTGCCAGGCTCCTGTCTGCTCAGAGAGCCAGGAACCCTGCCTTACTCTGCAGTCAGGAAGGAACGGCAAGATTCAAGAAGAAGAAGCCAAGGTAGAGGCCTCTGCTTCTTTACTAGTGCTCACCCCACTTACTGACAGGACCCGGGCTCCTGTGGACATATTGGCAAGTTGACCAGGCCCTTGAAGCAAGAGATTTGGACCTGTACCCCAGGAAGTCCGGATGTCTCACCCTTTCTCTGTGTCCTTGACTGGCCTTGCCGAGTGCCAATGAAAAACATATAGGACGTGGAGAAAACATTCCAGGGTCCTAGGAAGAGTGAAACTCCACAAAGCTTCCGGGTTCCTTGGGGATTCCTGCAGAAACCTCTATTGTTACTCGGGGACTCTGTGAAAGATAGAGACTACCTTAGCACTGATAGACTTTCGATGCGGGATTTCCATTGAGCCAGCAAGGTGCTCCTCAAATGGCCTTCTCTATCTGTTTTGTAGAAAATGTTTCTATTGCCTTTGCTACATGGAATCTGCTGTAGGGACTTTCTCTATCATGGTTCTTGAGCCACAATGCTTTGGAACCCATTTTTCTGTTACTTCACACTATTTGTTAGTCTTTTCTTTTCAGCATGAATGCAAATAAATATTGAGCATTCTTGGAAGTGTCTACTCTGTTTAGGAATGGGAAAGTAGGAGTTTGGTTTCATTGCATACACAGGAGATGGAATCCAGTGTGTTTGTGTCACCAGGAAGAGAGGATAAGATGGGACATTTATTCACCTGCAGTGTAGCTGCACAACAGACGACTCAGGGCTCCATAAAATGTTTTTACCACTAATTAGAGATTTTGTTGAGCCTATAAATCTTATATTAATATGAACTGTAAGGTTGCTTAAATGCTAGTTGCCTCCTCACTTTTTCAATCTTTAGAAACAGACCTTAGGTTAAAGATTTTTCTTATTTATTTAATATTTATTTATGTACAGGTGGACAATTCAAATGTTAACAACAACTACAGGTTCAAGGTTATTTTGTTTATTCAGTAAGGACATTCCAAATCCTTAGAGATTAAATGGCATCTCCCATCAAGTGTGGTGTAGGGTACTCTATAAAACAGACGGTGGAACATTTTCAGACAGCCTCCAGCTCCAAGTGGGTGTCAGCTCCATGTGGGTGCCTAGAGAACTCGAAACATAGATCAGTGCAAGAGAGTTTGGGTGTGATTTCTGTATCAGAGTTTGCTTGAAAAGCTCCACATTTCAACCCAGCACTAAATGAGCACGGACATGCAGATCTCTGGACGTTCCAGGGCAGCCTGGCCTATAGGGCTAGTTCTAGGACTTCTAAGTCTACACAGAGAAAATGAAACTAAAGTTAAAAAAGGAAGAAATCTATTTTGGAGTTCTTTGGCATGAAAGGGGCATCCTGCTGGATCAGACTGAGTTCTTATTGGACTAAAAAGCTAAATTGTTATAACGCCAGAATTAATTGTTTCCTTTGCTACAAAATTAATGTTTGACTCCCAAGTACTCTCTACCCTAGCATGATAATCTGTGCTGTCAAGGAACCTTGATACATTGTGTCATACTATTCCTCAAATAACCTAATATGCTGTCTGCTTCTGTATAAATCTCTTACACAATTGTGATGTTACAAAATTCCCATTTGTACTTTGCTCTAGAAGGGGGCCTGAAAATGTAGCCCATACTCTATTCTCAAAGATCATATTGTAGAGTCATTGCTGTGCAGAGTAAATACAGCTTTCTTAATTCACTTTAACCTGGTGGTAGTCTGTGTTCCCAAAATTCAGATGGTCAGCTCACTGAAAGAGAATCTGGTTTGGGGATGACAGCATTTCACTAAAATCATGTTTCTTTCCTTCCTTCTTTTCTTCTTGTTCTATTCTTCCTTCCTTCTTTCCTTTCTTCTCTCCTTCCTTCCTATTTGTTTTTCTCTCATAGGTCAGAATCAGAATATATTGTCCCCTTTCTCCACTTTTCCAAATTACCCCATAACTTATCTCTTCCTCAAATCTACCTCTCCTCCATTTCTCTTTTGAAGAAATCAGGCCTTCCAAGGATGTCAACCTAAGGTGTCTTAAGAAGACTCAATAAGACTATGCACCAATGCTCATATTAACGCTTGATGAGGCAATACAGTAGGCAGAGAGTCTCAATATGAGGAAAATATTTAGAGATACCCCATTCCCTCTGTTAGGGGTTTCACCAAATCATGAAACTAAAGATCACTAAGGCCCTGAGCTGGATCAAATGACACACTCTGAAGATCCTCCATGGTGGGACTCACCCTATCTAGAGATTACAGGGGAGATTGGCTGGGAGTCTGGGGTCCTGGTGGCAAGGGCAGGGGAAGATGGAAGGGAGAGGGAGATGGGACTGGCATGTGAAACAAGCTTGTTTCTAACTTAAATAAAAATAGAAAAGAAAAAAAACACATGCAGTTGAAATAGTTCATACCCATGCAGTTTCCTCCATTAGTCCTTTAGTCTCTGTGAGCCACTTTGCTCCCTGTTAAGTTAGTCTGTGGGGCATATTGTCCTGGTGTCCTTGAACCCAATTCTTCCTATTATCATTCCTTCTGTTCTTATG